CATCTCTCGATCTCCTACTCTCTCAACTTTGGTATATAGCCAAACCAAAACTCGGTTTTTCCCCATTCTCTCTCTCAATCTCTCTCATTCTTCTTCCTCACTCTCCCTTTCGGTTAATATCTCCTCCCTCAATCTCTGTCGTTCTCTCTTAGTCTTTTTCCCGCTACCTCTCTCATTCTTTTTTTTATTTTTTTTACATATTTTTATAATATTAATCAAACTGTAAAGAATTAAAGGGACCAACCACTTGTACAATCAAGCTATAAATTTCTATCAAGTTGGTGTAAATTTCATAGCCAAGAGTTTCTTGTGAACTTCTATCAAATTGGTGTAATCATTTTTGAACTATACCAAGTTGGTCTCATGTTATTTTATACAAGTTGATTAATACCATATAAGTGTGTAAGAAAAAAAAAAGAACAAGAGAAGGAGTGTGAGAAACTGAGGGAAAACGATAGAAATTATGAGAGAATGAGAGATTGACCGAGAAAGAGAATAGAGGAGATTGAGGGAGAATGATAGGTAGAGAGAGAATGAGAGAAATTGATAGAGAGAACCTAAATCTAGAAACTGAAAATGATTTTTATTTATTTTCAAATCACACGGTCGTTGAAGAGAGAGAGAGAGAGAGAGAGAGAGGGAGGGAGGGAGAGAAACTAAAAACCATTTTCTTATTTTCCGATCACCCAACATTAAAGGGCAATTTAAGTATAAGCTTTTTGTTGTGTTCAATATGGATTAAAAGTCCCATGTTGGCAATAGCCACATAAGTTTTCAATGACATGACATGGGTTTTTTATAATTTGAAATGTAGAGCTAATCGTCAGAGTTTTGTTGATTTCTAGAATAACTTCTTATAGCCTAATTTTAAATGTATAGCCGGTTCTGACTATAATTTTCCCTAATTTAAAATTAATCCGAAAGCAAAGATATTTTCTTATATATATGGTGGGTCAATGATCCAACTTTTCTAAAAAACCCATGATTTCATAATTGAGTAATAAATATTTAAAAAAGATAGAACACCAAAATTGAAAATGTACAGAATTTTGTCAAAACCATTTGAGAATATTTCTAATGTTATCTATTCATCATATTAGATAAAAATAATTGTTAAAATAAATTTATTTTTATTTACGATAGAAAGGGCACACAAAATATAATAATAATAATAATAATTGTTATTTGGTACAAGCATTTAAGTTTATTTTTAATCATATTGTTACTTTTGTTAAATTTCAATTTCTATCTTAACTATGATATATCTATAATTCAAGTAATTAATATGAAGAAAAATTTCTCACGTATAACACATGTGCTTCTATGAAAAACTTTACAATAGTTAGTTGGCCTACCTCTTTTTCCTCCATAACTATGGTTAGGTCATACCTAGGCATCAACTTTTGTAGAATTACTAATTACTCCTAATCAACTAGACCTGTTCATGGGCCGGAACGGGCTTTGTATATGTATCAAGAGTATACACTCTGGCCCGAGCCCGAGCCCGAGCCCGACCAGAAATTTGAAAACAGTTTTATTTTTTTTTTACTCAATAAAAAGTGTTTTATTTATATTAAAAACCTTGAAAACTCAAAAATAATAAACATCTCACTATTACTTGGAAAAAAAGAGAAGAAGAACAAGGAAAAATATTGTATATATATTTTTTATTAAATAAAATATATTTTTATTATTTAATATATTGTATGAAGTCRGACTCAAACTCAGGCTCGGGCCGAGCTGTTTTGAGAAAGACCAAGCCTGATCCGAAAATAATCGGGCCCAGTGCTTTAAGCCCAAACCCAAACCCGTAGGCCTAAAATTATAACCAAGCCTGACTTAATAACGGACTAGGCCAAGCTGGCCCAACCCATCGGGCTACCCTGCCCATGAACAGGTCAATACTCAACTATGTTTCTTAAGTGGGAGAATGGAAACCGTACCCACATTTGGCTGAGGACTACAATATAATGCCATATATATAGCTAGAACACAAAACAAATAACCATGCTCATCTATACAATTAAGTTAATTTTCGCCCACTTGAATGAGAGATGTGGACATCTATCTATGGATGCGCCAAATAATTAATTCCCGGCCGGACTCCTTTGGTACAAGGATGTTGTCAAAAATTTAAATCCAAATAGTGGTGCCAAACTGCCAACTAGCAAAAGTTGTAATATGCTGCCTATACATATGGCTTCGCTTCATCAAGCCTATTGCCTAGCTAGGCTTTTGCCATAAAATATCTGTCTTAGCAGGCTTGCTGTGGATTTAGGGCACGACGATTGGGTTCAACGGTGTCAATGGACCAGTTTTGGATTGGACCCCGTCCAGTCCAAAATCAATTTGGATGGATTGGATGGACCAACAAGACATATTGAATTGAATTAATTCGATCCAAAGTATTTATTAAATTGGATTGGACCTGCTCCCTCCTTAATAAATTTATATTGGATTGAGTTGGATTAAGCCAATATCTGATCTATTAATATAAGATAAAATATATGTATCAATGGACCAAATTTGGGTTGAAACCAATCTAAATCAAATTGAATTTAAACAAATTGAACGATCCAGACATTGAATTGAACCGGTCCAAAATGGTCCAAAACATTCTTTGGATTGGATTGGACCTGATACATATATAATGGACTCACATTGCACTGGATCGGATTGGACCAAATCCAGTCCAATTGACACCCCTAATGGGGTTCATAGCTTCTTACACATATAACCAAGAGAAGTTAGTTTGGCGGAGCTGTGACTTGGCACAAATTAATAAGCACAGCTATCTCTACAAAAGTCGTCTGGACCAGGGCAGAACTTGGAATTAATATTAAACGGGGCTTAAAGCATGAAACTAAAAGCGATCGACCTTCACTTTTACCTAAAATAAAAGAAAGAGCAGAGAGGTTGGTCAAGATAAAATGCTCTCTTGAAATCTAGTCTCTCCATGGATCTGTATGCCCTGCAACAGGCTTTAATTTTCTTGCCTAAACGTCCCTGCTAAACTGAATTATACCGAGAGAGAACACAAGTCGATGACGATGACGATGACGACCCTTGTGAGGTGAAGAAAATTGTTGAGCAACCAGCCAACCACAAAACAAATTTCAATTTTCAAACCTACCTTTTAAGTCTTAAGAATATATTCCAAATATTCAAGCTTAGCTGTGAGTCGTGACCACCAATTTTCAGCTTTTAAATTACCACGAAAACCGTGCAAGCTACTTCAAATTTCCGACACGGAATCGGAAACACCATGTCCAGGTTTATTACGTACATTGAAAGAGCAACTACTGCACCTACTGTATCTGTAGGAAGCTTTTTTCTCATCTACCATGCTAATTATATTCTATTATCAATTGTTTTCCTATATATATCTTGACCATATTGTATCCTCCACCTTGCACTCAATCTAGCTCTCTTGTCCAAATTGTATGTAATTAACACGAAGACCCGGCCTAGTCATTAATATAATCCACATTTGACAGACTTTATTAGGCATATTTGAACAGGGCAAATCTGGCTTCAGAAATAGATGAAGAACCACAGATATGTCTTGAACCATTCAATTCAGTTATAGGCAACAGAGTATAGGCACTACTACAGACAACGGACTTCACAATGAGAATCTGTCAGGTTGGGTTGGCTATGCCAACATTCCATCCACTGAAAACCCATTTTAGATTTGGATGACCAACTAGCTAGTAACTACTCGATCAAAAAACTATTATCAGGACAGGAAGAAGATGCACTGAAGATGAAGAGATATGGCGAGAGAGATATGTTAGTTCATTGAACTGGCCGGCCGGGCCGGCCTATAGAAGATTGAAGTTCTAAGTGAAAATTATTTTCTTCCACTAGGTGTTTACAAGTTGTTAATAATGCCTTGACACTGCCTCGGGGCTTTCCTCTTTTGTTTGAAGGCAGTCAAGTTAAATGTGTGTAAAGCTAATTTCTTTTAACATATTTAAGGTCTATGATATGGAACTCTTCAAGTGGTGGATTCACTCATCCAGAGCATTCAGAGTCACAAGAGATAAGCTTTAATTTTGCCTTGGCATATCCTGAATAAAATTCTAACTAAAATATCTATTAATTATATTCTGTGTTAATATATTATCAAACACGATCTGATCATGTATTAATGAATGAATAAGCTCATGTGGTTATCAGATGCTTGATGACATGGAAGAAAAGAAGCGACTAAATTGTAGTTTGGACGGCCAGAGGTCGTCATGGACTACTGATCATCAATGTATAAGCCGAAGAAATCTGTTAAATCTTAACGTGAAATACAGTCAACAGTTGATGGAAAGCCCTCTGGGCTGCAATTGTACACACCTAGTTTGTGTTTCAACTTCCTACGCTTGTTTCTCAGAAAAAGAGAAAGAGAAAAAGAAAGGAAACATAAAAAAAGGAATATATAGAAGAGATCGATTTTCAGAATTATATAACTTGTTTCAACTGGCGGGGGATGGATTGGCTTGATGAACGATTGTTAATCTACAACTGATTACTGAAGCAGCTTCAGTAGAGTACTCGAATCAAAACAGTGTATCTAGCTAGACGGACAGCACGAAAGCACAGTAGCCGACGGAAGCTAGCTTTGAAGCGACGAACAATCCAGAAGAGTCCAGACTATGTGGACTGCTGCAAGAATAACGTGAATATGTCTGAGCTTCGTCTCGTGTGTGAGTCCCCCAGCTACCAGCTAGCGAGTAGCGTCGACGTAAACACACACAAAAAAGTATAAAACCCCATCTACATACATAGATATATACATACGAGTCGTCAGAAACCAAAGGCGGGGAGTTTAGTTTTAGGTGGACGACTGGAAACACAGAAGTGCTGAGTTTGACTCATGACTCATGACTCATCTTCCGTGGCGTGTAATTCTTTCCATTTCATTTGGTGCTTACCTTTAGAAAAATAAAAAAAAATGGAGGTAGTTGTGAACCGATAAACTGCCTATAACTCTTGCTCAATTTCGCAGAACGAACCAAGCAAAAGCAACTTTTTACAACCCCTATAAGTCACTGTTCGATGAACAGGGAGCAGCAACAAACTCCAACGCAAGAGCCTGCCCTGACAATGGAAGACCAGGAGGAGCCTCGACGAACACCAATGGAGAGTTGTGTTGTATCAGAATTCGAAGGCACTCTCTTGAAGGACCCAGACCCCTTCTCCTACTTCATGCTAGTCGCCTTCGAGGCGTCCGGTGGCTTGATTCGTTTTACTCTTTTGCTCATGGTCTGGCCTCTGCATCGCTTGCTACACATGCTGGGGATGGGGGATGCGGCTCTCAAGCTCACCATCTTTGTGGCCGTCGCCGGTGCTCGGGCATCTGAGATAGAGTCTGTGGCACGTGCAGTGCTGCCCAAGTTTTACATGGATGATCTGGATACCGACGCTTGGAGGATCTTTAGCTCCTATGAAAAGAAGGTTGTGGTGACTAAGAGCCCCAGAGTGATGGTGGAGAGTTTTGTTAAAGGGCACTTACGTGCCACTGAAGTTCTCGGAAGTGAGCTCGAGGTAAATCGATTTGGATTTGCCACTGGATTTGTTAGAGATGATATGGGTTCAATCTCCAACCGTATTAATGTGTTGTTCAACGGCGAACAGCCCACCGCTGGGTTAGGTCGATGTGTGTCTAGTTTATCCATCCTTTCTCTCTGCAAGGTGAGTGATCATTTCCAACCCCACCTAGCTAGCTAGAAATTAAACCCTAAATATGTACAGGTAGTTTAAGTTACCGCTAATTAAGCACTAGGTAAACACTGGCTTTGTGTGCAGGAACAAATCCACCCACCATTCGCTTTGAAGCAAATTAACCAGCAGGACGAACGTCCGGAACCGGTCATATTCCACGACGGCCGGCTAATCAAGCGTCCAACGCCATTGATGGCCCTTGTCATCCTTCTGTGGCTTCCATTAGGCATCGTACTTGCGTTCATAAGAATCGTAATCGGGTTGGTTCTTCCTCTGTGGGCTATCCCCTACGTTGCTCGACCACTTGGAGGCGACTTGATAGTAAGGGGCAGACCACCACCCCCGGTGTCGCGATCCAACAGTGGCGTTCTGTTTGTGTGCACACACCGCACCCTAATGGACCCGGTTGTTCTTGCCACGGCTCTTGGACGCAGGATCCCCGCAGTTACGTACTCCCTGTCGAGGGTATCGGAGATACTATCGCCGATACCGACCGTTCGTTTAACAAGAATCCGGGACGTGGACGCGGAGAAGATAAAGCGAGAGCTGGCCAAAGGGGACCTTGCAGTGTGCCCGGAGGGGACAACGTGCCGAGAACCATTCCTGTTGAGATTCAGTGCACTATTCGCAGAGTTGACGGACCGGATAGTCCCGGTTGCGTTGAACCATAGGGTTGGGTTGTTTCATGCAACCACGGCAAGGGGTTGGAAAGCGTTGGACCCCATATTTTTCTTCATGAACCCTCGCCCCATTTATGAGGTTACCTTCTTGGGGCAGTTACCGGTGGACGAGACGTGCTCGGCCGGTAAAAGCCCACATGAGGTGGCAAATGAAGTGCAGAGGATGTTAGCCACGACGCTTGGATTTGAGTGCACCAATTTTACGAGGAAAGACAAGTACAGATTGCTTGCCGGGAACGATGGTACGGTATCTAATTACACGCCATTACTGGAGCGTGTGAAGAAGGTTGTGGGCACTTTTAAGCCCTTTCCACACTGATAACATGCATGGCATAGCATATACATAATATATCATCAGTAATTAATACTGCCTCTGCCACTATTATTGGGATTCTGGCTTCTGTTCTGTTTTCCCGATTTTTAAAATTTTTTAAATCCCATTTGATGGTTTTTTAATCTTATTATTAATTCTAATTATGCATGCATATTGTATAGATAGGGGATTGCCGATTGCGTGGGGTTTGGATTCTTTTCAATATTGTTTTGGTAATTAAATTTGTTGTAATTAAGGAGAGACAAGTCTATGTATAATTAGTTAAATCAGTATTTTAATTAATTTGGTTACATTTTGGTAATTGGCATTCTTCTTGCCGTCAGTATGATGAGATCGGCTCCGGTCAGTGCATTGTCTGTTCGAACAACTTTTACAGTAACATCTTAGGGAGATAAGTTTAATGAAAGACACTCTAATGGTTGTTCCAAGTGGCTTTGCACCAATATACCCAAATTTTCAAAATTCGGCCTGCAGAAACTCCATAATTTCGCACATCTAAAAGCCTCTAAACTACCTCTTTAAAAACTGGAATGAAGCCATCTCGTTGCACCATGATTTCCTAAGCACAGTTTTGCTCATTAGGGAGTTTAATTTCTGCCAATATATATGATTTTGCTATTTTAAAGCAGAACATGTTTGAAGAACCGACCCAGAAGTGGAACCATTTTTTTCTTCCGGGTCCTGGGTCTGCCGCTCAACGGTTCAGTTGAACACATCAACTAGTGACATCATAAATATAATAACTTAAAATTATAAAAATATTTAAAATGTATAAAATACAAAAAAATGTTAAAAAGTAGAAATTTTGCAAAGAAAGTGCAATACATAAATCTATTCAATACTTAAATTTAACAATTAAGAAGTTTAGAAGCAGAAATTTGCAGAAAATAAAAAAAAAAAATCCGGAAAAGTACTGCTGACTCCTTTTGTCGTCTCCAAACTAATGTTTTAAAAATCGACGCAAATGCCAAACCGTCTTTGCCTTTGGATCACAAGTCACCAATTCGACCGGTTGGGTCAAAAGGTTCAGACCATGCCACGTCATCATATATGTATTAAGTGTGTATATGTGTGTGTAAATATATATTTTATCAATAAATAATGTATAAATATATTTTAGATATGTAGCAAGGCAAAGCGTCAATGTCATTTGAGGCCAAAAAAGGGGTTTTTTTTTATGAAAATATATAGCAAGGCAAAGCGTCAATGTCATTTTGGAACGCATAGATCTTGAAAAGTTACAAAAAATAAAAAAAATAACCCCAATCTAACATCAGAGTGTAAAATTATGGCCTCCGAAAATTTGCATACATTGAATTTGCAACTCGCAACCCAATGACCGAGTCGAATGGGTCAATGGTTGACCCAATCAGGCCGAACGGTTCTTGACCAAGTCAACCATCTTTGATTATCTAACAGGTCTTAATTGAATAGGACCCGAAATCTTGACCTTCGACTGATTGGATCAATGGCAAGTTGAAAACATTGATCCAAACTCCAAAGCATCAATTTCAAAATGACCGTTTTTATAGCAATTTTCAGAAATTCAAACCCATGAATGATTCTTATTTATAAGAATAATAAAAAAACATCAGAACAGTTCTCGTAAGGCAAGATAGAATGAGAATTAACAGCCAAAAAAAAAATAAAGAAAGAAAATGTAGAAATAGAACTTATGAAAACTAAGAGTATGTAAGTGAGAATAAAATCACAAAAGAATTTTGGATTTTTCGATTAGAGGTAAGAGGATATGGCTAGGTAACCAAAGAAAGTGAAACCCCCCATCATTTATTCCCTCTATATCTCTCTCAGTTCATGTTGAAAGAAAAAGAAATGAAAGTAATAGACAAAAAAGTAGAAATTGGAGGAGAGAAATATTTGCTCTCTCTCAAAACGACAAAAACCCTTTGTATCTTAATTTGCAATAAAGATCTCCTGTACTTTTACTTTGTGACAAATACCCCTTAACCATTAAGCCAAATAACAGAAAGTGTTAAATTACCAAAATAGCCCACTAAACTTTTTCTTTCTTTTTTTTTGCCATTTTTTTTCTTAAAACCTAATTATCGAAAACACATTTGATTGTCACCTGAAAAGTAACAACAAAATCTAACTTTAAGACCGTTGATAGGAAAACAAAAGAGAATCCATGATGTATCTTCAATCTCTCCATATTCTCTAGCACAAGAAGCAATACTCCCTCCCTCCCTCTCTCTCTCTCTAGTATTGTTCTTTTTGTATGATAACATATCTCCAAATTCTCATTTTCTTCATTTGGGTGCTTGTCTGTAATGAGAGATGGCTTCTTGTGTTAGCAAATACGCCATACAAGTGAACGACTCTTCTTGCGGAGGTAGTTCAACGCAGGGTTGTTGTCCTCTAGTATCATTGATCCCTTTGATCCAAAATGCAGATGCAGTCACTTGTATCGACAAGATATCCTGCCAGATGCCCAGTTCTCTCTAGTATCACGAATAGAACATTTCTCAGGCAACCCACTGTATTCAACCAAAGAGCAATTCTGGAATAGTGAAATGTCTCACGACATTTTGATCAGATGTAGCGGAGAAGAGGGGTTGAAGCATCTGGTGCTATCGGTTTGTATCAATAAGAAGAAGGTCATTCGAGCGAAGAGGTTGCAATGGAATTTCAGGGGAAACCAGACCATGTTTGTTGTAATGGAATGTCAGCAAAGAAGGTTCCTCTTCTTTCAACTTTGGACAAATTGATCCAAGATATAAACTCAATGTGCATGTGTGTTTCTTAAGCATAATTCTGAGTTGAGATTATGCGTGTGGCTTCTGTGTTACTAGTTTAGATTATGCATGTGGCTTCTATGTTTTGGTTGATTTCTGGTTGTTTGCATCCCAAATTTAGTTAGTGTTTTTCAAAACTATTGAAGGGCGGAAAGAGCATAATTGGACGTCCATTCATGATAAGTTTAAGCCCAAAAGTCCAATATCAGTAGTAGGGAATACTTACTTCTAACTTTTTTTTGTTGCAGAGTTTGGAGTGCATGATTATTTTTTATGTCGTCAAAGGCATGAGTCATTTCTTGGATCCTACGTGCTGTCCTCTTTAGATTCTCAGTACGTTTATGAACCGGGTTCCTAATGGTTCTTGCTTTATGTTTTACGGTTTTAGTGTGGTGATGGGTATCTATGGCGGTTTGGTCCAAGATATCTTTTTCACCATTCAAATAAATAAGAAAAAGGTAATTTAAGGATTTAAAAAAAATAAAAATATTTTTTTAAAGATAACTGACGGAATATTAACGGAGGGGGGTCTTTGTCTAATGGCTAAAGTTTAGAGGGGTCTTTGTTGCAAATTAAAGTATAGGGGGGTCTTTGTCACTAACCCCATAATACAGGGGATGTCTTTATAATTTACCCAAAAAAAAAGACAATTCAACAGGTTGTTGTTGACATTTTCAACGTTTTTTTTCTTAAAAGATGGCTCATAAATTAATGGGATGAACGATTCAATCGTCCAGGTCAACGAAGGTTTACAACATTGTTGTCAAATTAGATGTATGCATGGTTTGTCTTTATTATCAAAATTTTCACTTAAAGATGCAAAATCAGCACTTTTACTATCAAATGCAAGTCATCATCGTGGTGCTTTTGTTTCCAAATCAGTTTGGAAGGAGTGCAAATACAAATATGTAGAGTGCAAATACAAAATTTTGTACTACACATTTCCATTTGTACTCCTTCCAAGCTGAACTTTTAGGATAATCAATAATTAATGTGAATATGCTTTTAAACGTAAAGATTGATGTGTAATTAACATTTCTATGATTAAAGTTAAAAAAAAAAAGGCATCTCGCCAAATCCAAACTTATGTACCAGAAAGTCAGGGGATGGTGCCGAATAATTGCAATAGAATAAGCAAAAGAGTCCTGTGGTTGTTATAATGAAATTTGAGATATTAAAATTTCATATCATTACAACGGTATCAGAACCAGATACGGAACAGAGCTTTTTCATTCCACGGGCCCTAAGCCCCTATACATGACTATAAATTAAATTGATCGATTGAATTGGGACATAAATAGGGCTGCAAATGGAATCTGATTGTCTGAATTTGAATCCTTTGTGATCTGATATAATCCCATTTGATTTGATTAAAATATATATATGCTCATATAATGTAAGATTTATATTGTATCTTAATTTGAGTGATGCGGTTTTCACTAAATGGTCATAAGTTTAATTTTCAACTCCTTCTATATATTCAAATGAGATTGAAGGTGTTATAGTTTCAAAATAACTTCCTCTAACTAGGTCTAATGTAGTTGATTGCGATGTTGATGGCCTTCCGTGCCGCCCACGCTTCAACAAGGTTTATCATAGTGCACCCAATACAACAAGCCTTAGTTTCAAGAACATTACCTTGGTAATTCCTAACAATACATCCAATAGCGCATCTGCCACCATTAATTTCTACAAGTGGCATCAAAGTTAATCTTGAAACAATCAGGTTTAGGAATGGACCAACCCTTATTGGTGGACTGATCTTCGTTCAACACATTAATCTTAATCTCATTCCAATTAATCATACCTATGTTAACAATTAGATGGGGAGTAATAGACTTATTATTAAAACATTTATCATTCCTGTTCTTCCCACATAATATACATGCAATAGTTTCCACCATTGATTAATAGAGGTATCACTATCTGAAACTTGCCCCAAATGATCACAATTAACAAATAAGTGATGGACACTTTCGTCCTCACCACAAAGATCACAAGACGGATTTATGATTAAACCCCTGACAATAAGCTTGTTTTTTAGTGGGCAACTTTACATTTAGAGAGTCTGGATATCCTGCACGACCTATCAGAGTGATACACGTCAACATCCTGCGGATTAAAAAATTTATACATGAGAAGCATGAAATACCACCACACGGTTAATAGTTTAACACTAAAACATGCTCTGTTTAAAGGTTCTCTTTAAAAACACATGAAAATAAAAGAGAAATAGCGATGAAGATATAAATCTGTGTTTTCTTAGAGGGTTTCCCCTAAGGCGATCTTGTCAATAGTTTAGAAGCTTATGATAGATAACTACAGTTTTGATCTTAAAAGCATGATCAAGCTACTGAGCTAGTAAAGGGGAGAAGAAGAAGAAAATGGAAAGCATGGCAAGAGAAAAGAGCATCGAGAGAGAGAGAGAGAGAGAGATGATTGTTTATTAGCTACAATGATGGCAGTGATTGGAATGGAAACTTCTCATCCCTTCCTTTCTCTCTCTGGTTTGATCATCAACAACGAAGAAAGAGAG